ATTCCTGCTCCTAGGGTATCTGACAAGGAGGATGAGAATTTGGACAGCCTATTCCCTCCTGAATATGCTTCCTAGTCATAAGGGGTATCGGGGGATTTACTCAGACCTCCTTCACCCTTTGTTGAATTAATTAATCAGGTTTGTGCTGTCGTATATTATCTCCTGTTTCCTATGATTCTCAACCTGCCCTCCTTGGTGAAGAGTTTATGGGCCAATATTTAGTGTTTTCTCCCTCACCTGTTGTTGGGGTTCATGCCCAGGGTTTTGGGTATCAACTTCTGTCAGGATTTAGTATGTCTTGTGTGCTTTGTACATATGCAGATCACGCTTATGCATTTCATAGATCTTCCTTCCCTCATCTTGATTCCCAACATTTGGAATCTCTCGTTACATTGTGGGGTTTGAACCCTAATGCATCAGTGCCTTTCTTACAATCTCCATTCCTGTATCTGACTGTTGTTGTCCACAATTTTGCATGCATTGTTGACATGGCTGATATGTTGTTGGGATAACATTCTTTCTTGAGTATGTTTCATTATCCTTCTAAGCTTCCTGTTTATCCCAACCTCCTCCTACTGTTTCTGTGTCTTGGCACCCCCTACCCCTGTACAACCATTTGCTGTTCCTGGCTTCTCGTTTTTCATCCATTCATAGTTGAGTTATTACTTGAAGGCATTTCAGAGGATTGCAGCATCAGTGACTCAGCCCCACAATAGGGGCCAGACTATTTAAATTTAGGCATATGTGGACACCATTTACAATGGATTCATTGGTCCAAACAGGTTCTTTCAGAGGGTTGGGCCCTTCACGTACATCCCTCCCCTTCCATTGCATTTCCCCAGCGAGGAATCCTATTTTCTTATCAGCATCTACAGGAGACAGTTTGGAACTTACTTTGGAAATAGTCTATAGAACTTGGGGAACATTTTCACTGGGGTTTCACTTCCATTTATTCATCACACCCAAAATGATGGTAGATTGACGACTGGTTATAGATTTATAGATATATTGTCCCTGAACTGTTTCCTGGTCATTCCCAAATTCACAGTGGAGCCTTACTTAACTCTTTGATAGGTTTTCACTCCCATTTTGTAAATGACAAGGGTTGATGTGTCGGATGTCTTCTTACACATTCTCATCTCTCAGGCATCCTGGTATTTCCTCTGTTTTGTTATCAGGGATATGTTTATCAGTTTCGGGCTCTACCATTTGGCCTGGCCTCGGCTCTTTCTGTCTTCTGCCGTGTATTCAGGTCATTAGCTCAACTGCTTCGTGCCAGAGGCCTTTGTTTCCACCATTACCTGTATGCCTGGCTACTTTAGGTTTCCTCTCAGGTCAAATCTACTGTTCATACTCAGTTTCTTCTTTGAGAGGCTGCCAGAGTAGGTTGACTCACCTAGGTAGAGAAGTCATTTCTTACATCCACACAATATTGATACATCTGGGCGTGTTTTTCTATTCTCATCAGTCAGGCCAAGCCTTCTCCCCTTTGTTAACAGGATAAGGAACGTTTCCTTTATAGTCTGTCAGCCTCTCCCTCTCTTACTGCATGAGATAACCTATCTCTTTTGGGGACATGGACTTCTCTCAAAGCCCTCATTTCCCTTGGTCTCACTCACATGCATCACCTTTAGTGGGTGTTACTCAACAAGTGGAGCCTCATTGGGGATCTCTTTGATGCTTCTAAGGTGTTTTGGGAGTTGTGTGCTCATTGAGGTATTCCAGATATGGATGTTCTTGCCACACATCTCAATGCACATCTTCCCCATTTTTGGTCTTCCATTCCTCATCCTTTGGCAGAAGTTGTAGATGCTCTCAGCAAATACTGGAAAGGATATTATTTGTATGCATATCCTCCTATTTGTCTTCTTCCCAGGATCCTTTGAATCAGACTACTCCATGTCATGTGCTCCTAGTGGCTCAGTTTTGGCCTGCTCAGATGTGGTTTCCACTTCTGCACAGGTTTTTGGTGCCACTTCCCCCTTCCTTTGCCATTGTTTCCCATGAACCTTTGTGATACATGCTTGAATGAGGTAGACAAAGGTTCCCACGAACCTTTGTCTACCTCATTCAAGCATGTGTCATCCACCCATTCCCACACTCCGGCTTCACTAGTGGCTTTGGTCTGGTCCCTTGCCTGACAGCCCGGATTTTCCAGGCATGTTGCCTCATTGATTGCCCATTCTGTACATCCTTCCTCCTTGGCAGTTTATCAGCATCAGTGGTATATTTTCCATTGCTGGTCACTTCCAGAGATATCATCCTTCACAACATTCCATACCACATTTGACTGCATTTTTCACTTTTATCTTGAAAAGGGGACTGTCAGTTTCCTCAGTTGCATTATCTTACACATTCATATTTCTTGAGATTGTGTCTGTGTTTCAATCTTCCATGTTGTTTTTGTTATTTCATTCCTTTCCCCATCCCCCCCCCACCCTGTGTCTCCCTGGATTGGAATCTCATTGTTGTCCTTCAAGCTTTCTCTTGTCCTCCAATTGAACCTTTGTGTTCATGTTTCCTGTATTTCATTTCCTTAATGTTCCTATTCCTCATGTTATTGGCTTGTGGCTGGCAGAAATCTGAACTGTTTGTGATTGCCAATCGATGTATGCTGTTCCATAGTTCCTATGTTCTCCTTTTCCCAACCATTCACTTTTGCCAAAGAATTCTGTGGCTAGGGAGGATAATCCCACATTTTCTCTCATTTCCGTATCTTCCATTTCCCACATTTATGACTGTTCTTATCCTGACCGTCTCCTGTGTCCATTCCGGGTCCTTCGATGGTATCTCACTTGCACTTCTCCCTTCTGTGGTTCCCATAACCATTTGTTTATTCCATGGAATCTTTCCATGTCCCGGGACCTCTCTTCCATTACCCTTCCAAGTTGGATTTGCTAGTTCATTAGACAGGTGTATTCCCTTTTACCTTAGGAGTGTCACCTTTTTTTTTTTTAGGGTATCTTCTCATCAAATCCATCACCTTACCACATACTTGTCTGTCCATTTCCGTCTTCCTTTAGAGATCATCATTGGGGCCTGTATGTGTACTATACCTCATACCTTTGTTTCACATTATTTACACCACTTGGCCGTTTCTTGCTCATAAGGTTTGCGTTTACCTCCAGTTACCATCTTACTCACAGCAGTGTCGTTATAACTGGTGAGTAATATGTTTTAGGTCTTTCTTTATTTACTGGGGCCTTTTTTGTTAGTGCACTGTGAATCCCACTCTGTGGTGAGTGGTGCCTGACCAAGTATATTTTTTTGGGGAAAATCTGCACTGTCTATCTTGTGATCTGATGTACAATTCCAGATGTTGCCAGGTTTTGGTTGTAGCACTAAGCCATATTAGTATAAATATATATGGCAGATTGCCTTTTACCACCATGGCATTCCACCTTCTCTACCATCCTCCAGATGTACATTCCTGTGGATGTGGTGTTGGATGGAGATGGCCTGGTCATGATTAGCATCATGTGTCTATGGTGCGACACCCTTCCTACCGTGGACCAGATGTACAATTTTAGATGTCGATAGGTTTTAGTTGAAGTACAGCCATGTTATGACTATGTATATGTGTGTGTGTATATATATACACATGCAGTTTGCCACCTCAGGCTGAGATGTTCCACCTACCTACCATCCTTTGGATGTGATTCCTAGGGGGGTCAGGTGTTGGTTAGAGATGGTCTAGCTAAGTAAGTCCTCCTCCTGCGGGCTGGATGAAAAATGCCTAATGCTGCCAGGTTTTGGATTGGAGATACACCCCAGGTTTGAGGTCTCTTCCTACCATCTGCTGGATGTCGATTCCCGGTGAATCTGGTGTTGGTTGTAACTGGATGCAGCATATATTTTCCCACTTGTGTATGGTTTCAGATCGGAGATGTCATCCCACTGGGGATTTCCACCTTCCTACCATCTGCTGAATGTTGGTCTGTGGTGGATCAGGTGTTGGTTGGGTTGGAAATGCCTGCAAGTGGATACAGGTTTTGGTACAGAAGCTCGTCTTCCCTACCAATTCCCATTTTGAAGTGAAGAGGTAGGTGGGCCTCTGCCTACCATGGAACTGATGTGCAATTCCAGATGCCACCAGGTGTTGGATGAGGTCAAACTAACACTGTGGTCTGTCTTGCCCTAGTCACTCGACTAGGGGCCCCATTAATAGGTAATACGTATTATGGGATTGATTCATGTTTTTCCACCATTTATGTTTGCGACACAGTTATAAAATAACAAAGAATTTATCTGATTCAGATGTTGTGTGGTCTCCCACTGTAGTGTGATATTTTCTTATTTGGTTCCACACCTCATGGTATCTTTTTTGAGCACTTCCTAAATGTTCAGTGTGGGATTCTAGCTATTTTGTGAGAATAGATAAGATGTTGTATCAAAAGTTAACATTTTTCTAAACTGAAAATGTATTTCCTACCCAGTCTCCCCACTTCCAGTGATATGTGGTGTAGGTTCTACGACGAATCTGGAAGTGATAAACAAGTGCAAATGTGGAGAGGGCGCTGGTTATGATAGGGGTTGTGTCATGCTCCTATTGGAGTTGAGCTGCTGCATAATCATTTACCTGTGAATATGCAGAAGTGGGAGGTGGAAGGCTAGTGGCAAGAACAGTACTAATCAAGAAAAGCTATTTTGTGGGAAGAAGTAAGTTTGTATTGGAAATACATTTTCAGTTTAGGAAAATGTTAACGTCAATAAAAGTTTAGCAAGTATGGGCAGACTGAAGTAACCTTCATTCACCAAAAAATTTATCTTTCCTGTCCCATCTTACTTCATTAAAAAATATAAATAAATGAATATATTTAAAGCAAAGATAAGCAGAGAATAAGAAAATACCTGTTCTTATGGTTATAGAATTGAAAAATGAATGTTGTATTGGGAGATAGTTACATGTTAACATGTCTGTGTAGGTGTATAATTGAAGAAAAAACAGAAAAATTATTCTTTATTTTTCTGAAAAAGTAATTTCTGAATGCTTTTAACAGTCGGATTCAGCAAAACAGATTCAAGAAGCTATTGCGAAGGACAAAGGACAGAAAAAAAATGATAGTTTTAAAGAGCAAGTCTGTGAAGCATTACCAGATGAAAAAGATAACAAAGAAAAGACCAAGACCAATTTAAGAATTTTACGAAAAAGGAAAGCTCTTAAACCATCTGATCAACCAGGCATAGAAGAGGTTTCGGAAAGAAAAGCTGCCAAACTTTGGTTTTATATTTCTTCTGAAGATGGAAATGCCACAGATGAAAACCAATGTGGTGGGTTATATACACTCTATGAAATGGTTAATGAGCATTCAGAAGAAGAAAAAACATGCAAGAAAATTCAGGTGTGTTCTTTCTTTTTATTTCAAAAATTCTGTTTTATTATACATGTTATCTTCTAAAACCAAAATTAAATCTTTCCAATTTTTAACTTACCACTGCAGCAATATCCGTGCAATACTCCAAGTATCTAATTATCACTTCATTTTGTTCCCAAGAGATAGATAAGGATCCATTTGGCGCATTTAGGCTATTCCATTTTGTACTACTTCCCTATTCCCAACTACATAAAGAAACTCTATAAAATACCAATCCAGTCTCTTAAACCCCTTCATTGTTACAGATTTTACTACATCTAAAGTCAAACTATTCCATATGCTAACCAGCTATTTGAAAAGCAACATTGCATTAACTGCCTGACATGCCTAACTTTTCCATATCTGAAACATGTCTCCTCTAGTCCTACCGACTACAATTTTTTTATCTTGGTTCATGGATTAATATTAAACGGGGGTAGGGTTAGCATTTTGTTTCTCAGAACGAGTTGAACACTTTCATGTGTGTTTGTGTTACTTTGTAGATTAGGTTTCAGTTGGATTATTGAAAATGATAATGTTCTTATAGTTAATTTTTGAAGCTTTAAGAAAAAGTGTAATTTTGTCAGCTACTTTGAAAAGATGTTATTTTTCATCTCGTTTTTAGTTCATGACATGATAAGGTAAGAAAGACTGAATTATTAGTGATCATGGTAGTAATAAGGTACAAGAGCAAATATTATATAAAAAAATTTCAAGGGTTGATGTTTTACAAGATTATTTGTTAGAAATTCTTAAATGGTTATGAAACATGTATGTTTAACATCATACTGTGTTGTTCCTCTCTCTTTAAAAATAATGGATCAACAGAGGATCTGGGATGTTATCAGGTTTTATCAGTTTTATTTTGTTTTTCCCTCTTTTAATATCACCATCACTTAAATAGTTGCTTCTTAATACCTTACTCTAATGCTGTTTTTAGGTTTATTTGGTGTGATATTCTTCCTTGACTAAGAATAAATTCAAGTTGTTTTTTTCAATTGTTGATAGTTGTTCATTCCGTGCAAAAATTTGGCAGAGAAATTCGTGCATATGTATCTAAACAGTCTTTCACATCTGAAAAGTGCATGAGGGCTGTAAACAAAACCTGCCAAACAGCCCACAGGGGCCTTTAGCAGGCTGATGCCTCATCTCAGTTCCTTGTTTATAAAATTGAATAGTAGAAGCTAACTTGTATTGACAGAAATATACTATTTATCTATCAACAAAACAGATTTTCACTGGCTAAACTAAGACATATTCACAGATTGCCACTAAACTATGATTACCTCCAATCAGTATGGCAGCCCTTGCAGTCTCATGTCAAAGAGAAAGTTTATCAAAAGCAGTTTAGGTCACAATCAGATTTGATAAAACTCTTCTTGCTGAATTTTTCAATAATTAATATCCAGTTTTGTAATTTAAACTTTAAAACATTGACTTAGCCTATATCCAACAATACAATTAAAAAATGTTGTATTACCGTGCGTGTAACATTGCTAGTTGAAGCCAATTCAAATTAAAGCATTGGAGCCACAGCAGCCAACAGGGTCACATGAAGTTATGTGTGAGCTTGTGTATGTATGCAAACAATAGCTGATTGTGTGGCCAATGCAATGACATGGTCCAGCTGTTTTCTCCAAATTTTTCTTTTACAAGCATATCTAAACTGGTACAGTTTCAAGTATAATTAGATTTTTCACACCAAGTTTTTATCTTGAAGTAGAACCTTCAAATTTTAGTCTAATTGGGAATGTTGAGTTTTAGAGGGGAAGCTTCCTCCATTCTATAGAGAGAATAAAAAATTGTACTTCTTACCCTGCATAAACAGACATATTAAAGAGTATGTTTTGCATCAGCCATTTTTACTTTTTTAGCATGCTTAACTTATTGTTTGCAGACCATGTGTGTATGTCATAATATGATACTTTGTACATACCTGTGTACAGGTCAAAATCTTGAACTCTGACTGTTACCGTCGATTAAATCTGTTTTAACCATTGGTAAACCATCTTGTGAGCCTTTACTTAGATTCTTGTTTATGACATTTTCAGTTGTTTCTGAAACTAACCCCTTTAACAAAGCTTTTTCTCACCTTTGATTAGCAAGTGCTTCACAATTCCAGAGGCTCCTACCATCCCATGTATGTTTTTTGTGTATGTTGTCTGCTCTTACCTTGATTTCTATTCAGTATTTTTTTTATTCCAATTGCAGTTAGTGAAAGATTGACAGTTAGTCAGTCTTCTTGTATCATATTTCCATTTCTTTCAATTCAGTTTTACTTCAAATACTTAGAATTGATTGCTATATCCCATCAAGACAGTTTGCTTTTATCTAATATGGCTTTTTATTTCTTGAAATTGAACCATATTGTTTGCAAAATGAACAATGATTTATATGGCTTAATGGGATCAAAATTCTGAAGTAGGTTTTGAATTTAGCATAATATTGTTCTTTGCTGTGGATAATGATGTTCCATTCTTTAGTCCTTTCTCAGAATTTTTTTTTTTTCACTTTACAGGATCATGATACCTCATGTTTTGGTTGTAACCAGTAGAATAGCTAGAAACACCTTTTGTGAATTACTTTAACAAGTTTTTTCCTCATTTTGATCTCAAGCTTGTGGAAATGCATTCCTCATTAATGAATTTTCTCATTCACCATCAAGTGATTGTTATTTTGAGTATATCCAATACTGAACAATTTTGTATACCCATATTATATGGTTTCCAACTTCAGATTTGTCAGGCATTAGTTCCTAGCAGACTTGTATGTGAGAAGAAGGGAAATGTTGGCCCACAGAATTGGTCCTAGTAAATATAGTTGATTACTAAACTTAAGACTTCTATTTTAAAAAGATGTGCTATTAACTAAAAGTTTTATATTCAGTCACATATATTTTAAATTGACTAAATTTAAGTTATTTTGTAATCCAATTAGTTCTCAGTAAATGATGTATGAATCCAATTCTGTTTAAAAGCATTTTTATTTATTTTTTTATTTTTCTTTTCTTTTCAGGATAAGGTGCAGGAAACTATTCTTTGCAATAATGTTTCTCTGATAAGAAAAGTTTCAGAAGTGCAATCCCTAGAAGAACAGTTTGTTTATGATTTATACTATGGTACTAATGTGGATGATGAGTTTATCAAGAATGTCACAGAGTGTGTAAGCCAGTTGTATTCAGTAATACCAGTTAAAAGGGATTTTTTTAATAATAGGCTTAATATTCATGGGCCTAATTTTTTTTTTTAATCTAGAAAAATTTGTGTTTGTTTAAGTTCAAAAGGTAAAACAAGGTAAACATTGTTATTTAGTTTGAGCTATTGATAAGGGTTGACTACCTAAAAATTTAATGTAATTTTTTTTTTATAAAGATCATGATTTGTTGTACTTACTTTGATAACTTTCATAAGAAAATAATTGAAAGCCTGGTTGACTTTTTGTGGCTGAAGTAGCATTATTTTGCTACTGAATACACATCTTGTGTGAATTCTTGTAAAGCGAGAATGGAAAATCACATGCAGATCAGCTAGATAAAAAAGTTACAAATAAGTTATAATCATGATACTATTAAACAAATTCTAAGATACTAGGGTTACATTTTTCCTGCATCTCCATGAAAATTGAGCAAACAGTCACTGAAAAGTTCTTGAAATTAATTTGAAGCTATAGAAGATTACTTGTAAGTACAAGATTGTGTAGGAATAAAATTCTCATGATAAGGTCAAACTCATTTTGTTAGAAAATGGGTCAAGAAATTGTTGATGTATTGCATCTCTTGACTCCTTTCCCACCCACTTTACCTGTTTTAAAGTATATGTGTACTGTAAATGTTTAGCTATTTTCCTTACCCTGTGTGCATGGATGGGGGTCAAAGTATGCATGTCACGCGGTCATTTTCATGCTGTTGAGTGTAATTACAGAGAAACTTATCTAAGGTTTAATGCTGTCCCTTGTCAAATTGCTCAAATTAAAAAAGAGAACATGTACAGCTTTGGTTTCAGTACTTTGTTTTTGAGGTACTCAATTGTGCGTGCACCTTCGTGCATCTGATTTTAATGTAAGAGATGTATTTTTAGCTCATGTTTTATCATATATTAGTTAAATAATTGCTCTCCAACTTGTTTGTCAATTGACATCACAATATATTTAATCTGTGTGTAAAATACCTTAAAACTAGCTTAATAAGTTTATTCATTGCTTTGAAAGAATGCCAAGCAGGTCATTAAATACAAACCTATTTTTCTACCTTGCATGTTTCATTTTTATATGATAATACATAACTCTGCTGTTAAACTGAATCTTCATAGTATTGCTAAGTATCACTAAGGTGCAACAGATATGTACTGTCATTCAGAATGTATATTGAATACAAAATTAACTTCCCTCATAAGGAATGTTTATGATACAGTTAAATGTTCTTATAAGTTTGTGACTGTTTAACATGGTAACTAATAGACAAAACCTGAAAATGAAGAAGTCCTTGAGCATAATATTCAATATAAGTAGAAAGTGAAGGTTATATCTATATCATTAAAAAAGTAATGTGGGAGGGGTTTTTGAACCTTCTTTGAACTTTGCAAAAATATAATTAGGAGTAGAGAAATACAGATGTCACTGTATGCTTATGGAAGAGAAGGGTGGGTGTGGATAGTATTGTGCATTGCAAAAGGAAAGGTGTTTGGGGAATAGATCTGTCACCTCCAAACCCCCATCTTAGACAGCAGCATTTATGTGTTAAGGTTTTGGGTATGAATTTATTCATTTATTTATAGACACTTAGAATACTGGCACTGTCACCCTGTTGAGTTTTAATACTTGCCCCAAGACTTGCCATTTCTTGCTAGATAATTCAGCTGGTTTGTCATTTTTGGTCAGGCCATTTGACTAAAAATGCCTTTTGTACTAGAGGTGTTTAGTAGGTATCACGTGTTGTGGAATAATTTTAACCCACTTAGGTTTGACCTAGCAGTCATTGAGATGCCCTGCACAACTATCAGATTTGTTCCAAACTCTATGTACTTAATCTCATATGTGAGTAGTCTAGGTAGGTCACTTAATTGTTTTAATTACCTTAAATACACAGCACTGCCTTTGCATTTTATAAAATTTGGTGCATTCAAATACAAAATACCACAACCAAAAAAAAATGTTTTGTATGCAAAGCACAAGTTTTCTCCTTAGTTTGGATTAATGATAATTCTATAACAAAAATAAAATATAGTGTAAACTGAGATTGAGCAAACCTACAAATTTTAAGAAGAGTTAAATCTCAAGGGATGTAATCACTTTCTTCAAATGCAGAGCACTGAGTTTTAAAGTTCAACATACCATCAGCTCGCAACCACACAATTTTACATCCAAATCAATAATAAAACTCAAAGTAGGCACTAACTAAATATGAATGGACCAATAACCAGGAATTGGTTGGTTTTAGCTACTAAAATAAGTAATTTGGTCTAAAGTAACAATTTCCACTGAAAATTAGCCAAATTTACAAGAATGTTTTTATTTCAAGAGTATACCCAGTTGATCTGACTCCAATACCAATGTTCAAGGCAGTATATAACCCAGTTTGTGCTTGTTACTTCATACTGGTTTGTCAAAAAAAATTAGATTTGTAAAGAAATGTTTTGTAATGTTTATGGTTAAGGACTTGTACAGTATGCAGAAATTGTTTATTTGTAGTAGTATTATTGTCAATAGTTGTTTATTACAGGATGAAACTGTTATCTGTTTGATGTAACTTAATGACAGAATTCCGTACTTTGAACAAAGTATTTTCTTTGTGATTAACTGTGTCATCTGTTTGTCTTCAGCATTTCACGATGTGATCTAGATGAACGGTTCGTATCTAGAGAGGTGGATGATGAGTCTGAGAATTATGAGGAGGAGGATGATAGTAATGATGAAGATAACTGGAGAAATGATTATCCAGAAGAAGATTCAGATGTTGAGAATGGTGAAAAGGCTACTTTGTTTACAATACTTAATTGTCATTTAAAAGTTACACTTCATGATAAAATGTCATGCACTGTTGACTTAAGTATTTATCTTTCTTCTCATAGATATAAAGATTGTGCAAAGAACAAAAATCGTTTTTGATGTCTAAATTTTTGTGGCTCATGTTAGAGGCACTTTTAGAATTGAACGACAAGAAATATTGCAAAACAAAACTCTTAATCACTTCTTATTTTCTTACAGAATATGATTATTTTGGAAACAAACGTCAAAATATTGATGACGAAATGGCAGAGAAACTTTACAGCTGTGATATAATAGGTCAGTTGAAACATTTCACAAATTTATTTTATTGAAAAGATTGGCTTTAGAAAATTTTAACATTAACATGTTCTTCCACTTTTGCATAAACATTTGGAAAAAACATTATGTGGAATTGTGTTTCTAAATGTAAATATATTCTTATGTACAAATAAACTGATGAAACAAGATTAAAATTTATTAAATACATACACATGAAATCCTAATTAGGTACAAAACATTTAGAGTTGCTTATCGTTTTGGTTTGGTTAGAAGTATTGTTTTTGATCTTATATAATAATTGTAAACCTAACAAAAATATGTGATGTAAAAACCTTAAGAATAAACAAAAGTTACACTTCATGGAATGATAAAATGTTACTAGACATTTTTAGAATAAAATACTAAAAAACAAAATGAGAAATTCAAATCTCGAAAAAATGTAAGTATATTAATTATCTTATAAAAACCATTTCTTAATGTAATTTTACCAAGATTTCAAAGCTGATAATGCATAAAAACTAAAGATATCAAAATTTAGATATTTCTCTGAAACTACATAACTTTAGGAAAGTTCCTGTCAAGTTTCAAACAGTTTTATTTTTGGAAGAAAACATGACAAACATTACATAACTTACTTCAAAAGGAGCCAGTTATAGTAGGGTTAATAATATTTTAATGTAAGTATGTAAACCTTCCAAGTAATTCACATACGTTCACTTGTGTTCTTCAAGTTAACTTTGTTTTTTCATTGCTAAAGTTTAAAATAATCTCTAGTTTATTCATTATTAGATTGTCTACAGCCATTCTGATGCTTTTTCTCTCAATATGTTATTTTACCAATATTGTGTTAGTAACATTTTAATGTTTGTTGATTAAAGATTTCTCAAACATAAAATTTCATTGGCTAGTATTTCACATGAAACTTTTAAGGCCAAAAGCTATTAGCCATCTTATGGGGTACAATAAGCTTCCAACAACCCACCTGAGATATTTTAAGCAAAGGTCTTATATTGCTACCTGTGCTTGTAGCTTAAGCTGTCATGAGTTCAAACAGTGCATTGGGTTTGCTAATTTTCAGGTTTTAACTTCACCCTGTGTAACTATCTTACCTGGGGAAGTTTAGATGGGTATGAAATTAGGCAGGCCAGAAGTGGAAACAAATTATTGAAGCATCATGTTATCTGCTATTGTAAAACTTAAGAAACTGGTATAGTTTCTACAAAAACAAATAATTATTTATGATGAATTCTTTGTAATTTGAGGGTTAATGATAATATAGATAAAGTTGAATGTAGTTGAAGCTTTAGGCTGCATCTATCTGGAGTCTAATGCTATCCAGGTAGATTCAGTACTTCTTTTTTTTTGTATAACTGAATCTGAAAATTAACTGGGACAATATAAAATCAGCATCATGAGTGCACAAAAGGAATTGACATTTATTTGGTTAAACTACATTTACATCTAAATATGTGTAGACTGAAGTAAAAAATATCATTAGTTTAATTTCCGAGGTTTAAATAAATAACACAAGGTAATTTCAAACATACAAAAATGTTTTTCTCTCTTCTCACACTTTTAACATCAGCTCACCAGTGCTGGATTTCCTGTTTAGTTCAGGTGTTAATGGTTAAAAGAAACATTCGCCATAAAGAACTTAACACTTGAACTAAACAGGAAATCCAGCACTGGTGAGCTGATGTTAAAAGTGTGAGAAGAGAGGAAAGTTTCTGAGGTTTAAACATTTACTACAAATACTCACTTAACTTGAAATTACTTATTCAGCCCATCTGGAAACTAAGGAATTTTTACCCAGCAAAGAATAAAGAAACTAATACAAGAGTATAACATGATCACCAAATTTATGTTACACTTTCAACAGGTAGTGATGAAGACAAGAATGACTACTTTGAACCTGCTGGCTCTCCTATATGGTTCACTTGTCGTAACACCATTTGTGATGATGATGATGATGATCCTGATAGCAGTAATGAAGAGAACAACTAGCTTTGTGATTTTAAATGCAACATAATTTTGTCTTTTTGATATTAATTTTGTAAATAATACATTCCAGTGATATGCAGTTAATGTAAATTAAAGTTAGCAAATTTTCAGTTCTTTTTTTTTTGCAGTTAACTAATTATTAACATGTTGCAGCTAATCAGAATCTGTAGAACATATGACATTGTAGATTAATTCTCATCAGCACACCTTTGAAAAGTTACATTGTGGAACACTTGGGGTCCAATCGCATCCCAGCACAAAATTACCATTATAGTAAGCGCTAGATTAAAATTCCAAAATCCAATTGCAATACAGCTTTTATTAGGGTTAGCATGCAATGTGAACAACATGAAAATATACGTATTCTAGAAGAAATATGTTGACAAATTAAGAAATTACATTGTTCATCAGTATACAAATAAGTAGCATTCAAGTATTTCTTATACAAACTGTACCAAAAAAATACTGAAGTTTTATTATACTCTTATATTCACCTCATTATCCACCAATATATGATGAGATTACCACAATACTGCAAAATTCAACTCAAAGAAAACTGAAAATGTATGTTGTAGGTCACCTTGGGTCCAACCAGACCTCAACACAAATGTATCTTTATTGTAGGCTATGAATTGAAATCCAATAAGCAGGTTATTTACAACAATTATCAAACAAGGTTTCTATAAAATAGGGCATTATAAGCAATAATCATAAAGAACACTTATTGAGGAATGAGATGTGCATACATATTTACCACAATGATGTTATAAGTAAACAGATGAGATGATACTGTACTACTTTGATGGATTAAAACAGCCTATATAGTGAAATAAACGTTTAGGAATTTGTATTGTATGCTACAGGGCAAATTGCCTGGTTTGAAAACAGTAGTGTCATACTGATTTAGGGTTTCTGCTTGACAATTACATGAATTGATATAAATTTGTAATGATTATGTAAAAAGATATACAACCGAAAAAGTCGTAAGGGTCCATATGGATCTCAGGTGTGCTGATGAGGGTTAAACATGTATTAGGGTTAGAATTGTATTAAAATATCCTGTTCAGTTTTGCTTGGTACAGTAAGACTACTGTACATGATTATGAGCAAACGTACAGGTTTGGTCTTGAAATATGAACATTTTCAAAATAGTTTAACATGACTTATGAAAATTATAACTGTTACTACTGCTCTCTCAAAACAATTGACTCATTCATAGGATAAAGTAATTAGAAGTAACAACATATACAGAAGTGTATTTTAGTATATAAATCTGATGTTATTTTTGGTGACCCAAAGACAGTTGTTGTTTAAAAAACGTAATTAGCAGCTGAATTTTATAATTAAAATGGACAACCTACCTGGTAATTAGACGTTTTGATCTTATCAGGTGATGAAAATACATGTAATTGGGTCAAAAGATCAACAAATCACCAGTTCATTGGGCAAGTGTGGTTTTATTTTTGTCATTAGTCACATTAGACACTATTCCATCATTGTAACATAAGAGCCTATACTAGAGTGACGTAGAAATGATGTCATTGACAAAATCTTGGACTTCACTTTTATAATGAAATAATGATTAATCTTCTACATTTTGATTTGGCAAAGATATGTTGATAGGTCTTGATTTTTACTGACATGAATGTAGAATACAGTGATTTTATTTACATGTGAAAAATTAGTAAATTTTCAACAAGGAATATTTAATGTGTTTTTAAAAAGTAATTTAATTGAAACGAAGAGTTCAAGTTATGTAGAGGAATATAACAATGTTCATTCCATATCAGGTTGTACTGTAATCAATGTTAAAACCTAAATTTTATCTTAAACTTAAAATACATCAATACCAAATCAAAAACAGCTGTAACTGATAGTTGGCACACAGCCACATTTGGTCAGTATCTGATTTTTTTGTGAGAATATTCACAGTTGTAGTAGTGTTTTAGTAGTTCCTATCATTAGACAGTTTTGTTTAGATTATGTTGCAAAGAATAATACAAAGTCTAGTCCTATAAATGAAAAGGAATGTTTGTATTTCTCCTGCCACGAGTTTTACAAGTTTACTGAGTGATAGGCCTAACTTCACAGATCAAACTTGTTACTTGCTGATTTCTCCCATGTTTCTACTACTTCATTGAAACACAAACCTCATTATTTACAAAATTAGATCAACAGACAACCTGCTTGGCCCATGTAAACACCGAAACAGGCCTGTTTTACCACACTATCTATTTTGGTATTTGATGGGTATTGTTATATTACCATGCAGTGTGTTGATATACTGAAACAAAATACTATACATATTTATTTATTGAATGTTGGCCTATTGAATGTTGTCTAGTATATATATTGGCACCTGCTAACATTATGATGATTTTCAAAGCATACAATTTTACTTTTTAAGCAAAACTGCTATTTTGTGGTTGAAAAACTATTGAAATATTATTATAGTGTGGTTTAAATACTATTAAACACTTCTTTAAAAAATCCCAAAGGTATCAAATAAGGAATATGGAGTTTAAAAAAAAGCCCAACAGTGATGTCTTATCAGAAGTATAATTAAATATAATCATGCATTGTCAGCATAAGGCATTAACACCATAACAGATGGCTTATATGGTTGTTGTTTTGACAACTACTGTGTTAGTGTTTATTGTATTCCAGTTGGCCTGATGAGCTGTGGTATTGAGTTAAATGAGAAGATGGCAATGGATATAGTTGGAATAATATTGTTGAACTTCTGTTATACACTATTCTTCTGAAAAGAACCCAAAGGGCCAAGTAAAGAATAAATAAATAATATTGTTGAACTACTGTTATACACTATTCTTCTGAAAAGAACCCAAAGGGCTAAGTAAAGAATAAGTAAATAATATTGTTGAACTACTGTTATACACTGTTCTTCTGAAAAGAACCCAAAGGGCCAAGTAAAGAATAAATAAATAATATTGTTGAACTACTGTTATACACTGTTCTTCTGAAAAGAACCCAAAGGGCTAAGTAAAGAATAAGTAAATAATATTGTTGAACTACTGTTATACACTGTTCTTCTGAAAAGAACCCAAAGGGCCAAGTAAAGAATAAGTAAATAATATTGTTGAACTACTGTTATACACTGTTCTTCTGAAAAGAACCCAAAGGGCTAAGTAAAGAATTTAGTGTTTAATAATACTGTTGTCTTGTTATGAATACAATTGATTATAATCATACTTTGCCAGCAAAAAGCATTCATACTATGGTATTATACACTAAGAAATTATAACATCATCAATAGTTAAGGTGTGTACACCTTTTACAAGTCAACAAAGAATGATGAAAAATATACTTGTCATAAGACATTAGTGTTTGGCCTATTAGATTTTTAAGCATTACATTTTTAATCCAGTCGTTTCAGGATTTTAAGAATTAGAAAAGTGTATAATAATATTATTCCAACCACACTATATTTGTCATATCCATTCCTGCAAGGCATTTTGCTCAATCCAGAGCTCATTAGGCCAGCTGGGATACAATAAACACAGTAGTGATCAGAATATTATTTATATAATCCAATTAATACAACAAAAGTTGTCTTTCAACGTGCAGGTGCCATCCATGTCAATGGTTGTCCAGGTAAAAGTAGGTCCAAAGTTAAATATGGTGATGTCATTAGAGAACCAAATACATGTATCTATAGGGGAGACCGGGGCTAGTTGTTACG